GAGAGAGAGAGAGAGAGAGAGAGAGAGAGCTAGAGAGAGAGAATGAACACAGGCGCATGTGTGGTGTGCTGTGTGGGGAGGGGTCCTAGCAGTATCAGATACTACAGAAGATTGAGGAGGAAACCATTAGATTTTGAATTTGAAATTCAGTCCAGTATTTTAAAAAGTCCATATTATAGGTTTGCTTTCATTTCTAGTCCTGTGAACTGATTGCCTTTTGGGCATAAAAATATGTTCATAAAATTTCAAAATAAAAACCACATTCTTCTGTGTTCTTAACATTCCTTGTAGGCTATGGTCTTTGCGCTGCCAAAGCTCAGTACCCTATCGCTGATTTGGTAAAGATGCTCTCTGAACAGGGTAAAAAAGTCAGGTAAGTGCTTCTAGTGAGAGACTTGCAGTGTGTGTGTGAAAGAAAAAGAAAACAGATGACTTTTTTTAGATGACTATTTTTTTTTAAAAATCTTAAATGTAATTTCTATTAATTAAGAAAAGAATATTGTGCTTATTGCATAAAATCCTAGAACACGTAAATAGGAAAAAGAAAGAAGTAATTATAGTCCCATTGCCCAGAGACAACTACTATTAGCATTTTGGCCAATTTACTACCACTTAAAAATGCATTTTATGTGGTAAGAACACTTCTTACATAACTGTAACATTATACTTGTTGAAACAGCAAGCAGCCCTCCATTTCTGGTGCTCTACATGTTCAGAGAAACTCCTCCAGTAGCAAATATAGAAGTGATCCCTGAAAGTTTTAGTCTTTCTATCTTTCGTTTTGAGTGGTGAGAACAGGAGAACAGGCCTGAGTTGAGCAGATCACAGTCTATACCAACACTGTCCAATAGAACTTTCTGTGGAAATGGAAATGTTCTCTATCTGCAGTCTTCCAATATGGTAGCCACTTACCTTGTGTGGCTAGTGAGCACTTAATCGGCTTAAACTGAGAAATTGAATTAAAAAAAATTCAATTATAGTTGACATTCAATATTATATTAGTTTCAGGTATACAGCATAGTGGTCAGACATTGATGACTGTTTCTTAAAGTGGAGTTTTATTTTTTATTTATGTATTTATTTTTTAAATTTTGTTTATTTGTTATTAGTTTCAGTTGTACAAAGCAACGTAATAGTTAGACATTTACACCCCTCACAAAATGATAACCCCACAATCCACTACCCCTCTGGCATCGTATATAGCTGTTACAATACCATTGACTATCTTCCCTATGCTGCACTCCACATCTCGTGGAAATATATATATGAATAACAAATTCTCAGTTATAATTTGTTTTTTATTGAATTAATTTTATGACTAGAACATAGACTTTTCATGAGAGACCTTCTCATTGTTTCACATATTTGTCATAGTTCAAATAATTTATGAAAGTAAATAATCAATAAAAGTAATTCATATATATATAATATCCACTTAATTATAGTTGATATTCAATATTATTCTACTTCAGCTTCCGATTTATAGTACATTGGTATCTTAAAGTAGAGTTTGAAATATGTAACCTTAGGTGAGGAGACTAAGTTGTAAAAACCTGATTCTAGCCTTAATCTTACTACTGTTTTCACCCTCTAAGAGCATGGAACCTAAATAAATACAGGCTCATTTTAGAAAGGGAATTTTTGTTATGCTAAATTGCAAGATATTTATTAATGGGGAAAAACAGAAGTCCTGTTTCTCTGTGGTTTGTTTGATTTGCGGAAGGAGGTCAAGCAGAGCCTTTGAACCACATCAGGTTGGGTCTGTCTGGTTTCTGTTGTCCACACTGAAGAAAAACAACAAGCGAAAGAGAGGTCTGTGAAGAGAGACCCAGTGCTAAGCGTGTGGGCTGGTTACTGTTTGGCTGATTTAGTTCCCACACTCTCAGGGTGGAAAAGACTGCTGAAATTTTTCTTTTTCTAAAACCATACACTTTTTCACATATGAAATAGAGCAACAACTGTTCCTGCCCCTTGCCATTTGGGCTCTGGACTCTGCTCTTGGGAGGATAGTAAACAGAATGGCAAAGCTGAGGACTCTGTATTTCTAGATTATTCCTCCTGACCTTGGATGGAGGGTTTGAGGCGTGTAAAAACGGGGCCAGTGGGTGATGACCCTGGTCATACTTTGTGTCTGTCCTGTACACCTTTGGATCTATTCTGGACCTCTGCGGTTGGGAGTCAGTGACAGGCGTAGCTGGAGTTTCCCTGGGAGGGTAACTGCTGTCTGTTTTATGGGGAAGCTGCTTCTCTAGCAGTTTCATTGACATGGCAGCATAAGTTACAGAGACAAGGTAACTACTATTAAGTAAAATTAAGTTGGTTCGCCAGGATGTTAATGTCCATTGACACAACTGTTGATGTCTGTTAACAAACATTTCTTTTAGATGCCAATCTTACACTTTTGTCTGTGGGCAGATGATAATAAGCCGCACAGTGTGCCTAGAACTAGTGAGAGTATCATGCCAGACTGGATGCAGAGTCCTGATCTTCAACTTAAGTATCACAGCTATTAATAGTGGTAAAAGAGACTTAGATGATGAAATCATAGGCTATCTAAAATGTTTTACTCTCAGCTGCATTTCTTTCCCGCCCTCCTTCCCTCCCTCCCTTCCCTTTCTTCTCTTATTCTTTCCCCTAATCTCTACCTCCCTGTGATCTATAAGTCTGTGTTTTTCAAGTATAGGGTTAAAATGCTATCTTGTGTTAGCTCCAGCGTTTCTGTGAAGTACATGGTTCCTATGTTTAGTATACCTTAGATGAACTGAAGATAGAAGATGAGGAAACTCATTGACTTTGTTTTTTAATTTTCACATAAGAAGTCTCATTTTAGTAACTTTTTCCTATTTTCATATAAGGTATTAAACCGTGCTTCCTGTTTGGCCATAGTCTTGCCACTTAAAGCATTTGCAGACCTATAAGTGGAAAGGATGTGTTAAAGAATCTTTATGATTTTTCTGAAAATAAATTGTTTTTCTATATTCAATCCACATGTGAAAAGTCGAATGTATTAGTAATGCCTTCTGTCACCACGGACATGTTTAGGAGATGAGTGGCACTCATAATAAAATAGAGAAAGATGGCTTTCATGTCTTAATTATACTTAGGGAAGGGAATGATTAACTTGACATACGTCTTTTGTTACCCACTGATCAGCCTATATTAACCAGACACCTTGGAAAAACAGCCCAGTGTTAGGTAGGTAGGTGCAAAGTTGGAGAGCGTCGTAAGAGTTGGGAAGCTTGATGGAAGGCAGGATGTGAAAGGAAAGGAATAAGAGGGGTGGAAAAAAATGTTCGGAAAAGAAAAGGGATAAGACAAATGCAATTTTAGTTTCTGATCTGATTAAAATTTGAATTTTATCCACGAGGACATAATATAAACTGCTGTTTTAGGATGATTTCTGTCATGCTGCATGAGAAAAGTAATTATTTGACTTAAGATTTGTGGGAGATATTTAATTAAACATAAGTGAATAGTTTCTCAGTTATAATTTGTTTTTTATGAATTAATTTTGTGACTAGAACATAGACTTTTCATGAGAGAGCTTTTCATTTTCTCATAATTGTCATAGTTTGTTCAAATAATTTATGAAAGTAAATTTATTATATAGGATAAGAATAAAATTGTTAAGTCTGATTTCACTATTTGTGAGTTAGGAAAAGTTAGTCATTTATATTGATCTAAATATTTCATATTAAAGATGAAATTATATATTAGTATATTAAAATTTTAAAAAAATACAGTATGTTGAATTTTCAGCATGGGCTTTGTAACAAGTTATGTATATCTCACATTTGAATTAAATGGAAGAGAACTATTCTTGCTAACATGACAGTAGATTATCATATTTTTCCTTTCTTGCTTCTGTGTGAAGATTTTGTTTTTATTTGAAGGCAATCATAGAAACTTCATTGATTTTGCTTTGAGTGTGTTATCTTTTCATAGGAGAAATGCAACATTTCTTTATGAAGTTAGGAATATATATATATATATATTAACTTTCTTCAAAAGAGACAAATGTTTGTGAACAAGAGATGGCTGCAGCAGTTACCTCGTATGTTAATGAAATAAATCTGTATTTACAGTTTGCGGTAATTTAGTCCTTTCATCACTCTGTGGAGCTCCCACGGTGTTCATTGAGCACAGCTGCTGTGCCTCTGGTTTTGGTAGATCTTTGAGCCTCAGGACCCCAGCATGCCTAACATCCAGATGTGGTGACATACTCACACACATCCCCCGTGGAAATGTGCCAGTGTGGACATACGATTGTCATCAGTTAGTTATGCCCAAGTGGTGCCAAGAAAAATTGCATCTGTCATACAGTCTGTCTGGCTTCATGGCCCATGATTGATTTAGAGACACTCCTGTTTTCCTTTACTTTGGCCATAGTCATAACATGCTCGCAGAGAGCTGAGATTATATAATGAAGCATGTGACGTTTCATGACAAGAGCTCATTTTGGAACATCATGAAAGTTCACTGACTTACACTTTCTTTACTGGCCGGGATATTGTTACTTCCCCGTTGCCCAGAATGCCTGTGTAGCTTACCTAACTTAAGCTTGATTTCTAAAAGCATTTTATCGCAAAAATCATGACACAAGGATATAGACATTTTTTTCTCTTTATTTCCGAATCTTTGGATTGATACGATAGGCTTTTCATTATAAAGCAGAGATAGTATTCCCAATGAATAATTCTTAGAAAGAGGTGTAATTTTTTTTTCTTTTTATAAAAATATTATTGCTTGGATTATCACAGAAGTGTTGAATTTTTGAAACCAGATATCAACTTCTATGATTGACTAAGTGATGTTATTGGGTTGTCGAAAAAGTCATGACACATGTTTGCAACAGATGGCACCAGTTCATTTTTGGAAATACTAGAGTCATTTGCATCTATGTTATTGCTATGTCATTTGACAGCTGACAGTTCTAGCTTCATTCTAAAAAAAAAAAAATTGAGCGATTTGGTTGAGTTTTGGAGATTTTACAACAAGTTGAGGATGGAAGACCAAACTGCATTTTTGCCATATTTTACTGTTTTACTTCCATAAAGGGAAGAACGTGCGTCAAGCTTGTGAAAAGTTGCATAAAGTTTACTGTGACAATGCTAGTGACAATGATGGTTCATGAAATTCTGTGCTGGTGATTTTGATCTCAACGACGCTCCTCGGTCAGGGAGGCCTACCGAGGTTGATGACGACAAAATAAAGGCATTGATCAAGTCAAACCCATGTTACACGACATGAGTGATTGCAGAAACATCGAACATCCATCATTCAAGCATTCACGACCACCTGAAGAAGCTGGGATACATAAGCAAGCTCAATATTTGGGTTCTGCATGAACTCAAAGAAGTTTATTTGATGGCG